TTTTCTAATTTATTCCCCACACCTAATCTCAAGTAACAATGGATATGTTGTGATTTTTTGATTCAAATTGTTTGCCTGAACTCATTTTGAAACAGTTTCTGAGGCCTCTTACCTTACGCCGCTCCGGATGTAAGAAAATTTGGATGTAAGAAAAATGATAAAAAATGTTTTTCTCTGATTATCTAGTCTTTTGGCTTTCAATTTTGCAGCAAAATATGACCTAACTAAATACATTTAAGATCGTAAGCAAGCTGAAATACTTCATTAATCTGAAGTTACGTCCACAGAAGCGATATACTTTTGCGCTATTCAATAAAAAAACACTTCAGCTTTTTTTCTGCAAAACAAAAGTTTTAATCAGAGTCGGGTTATTCAATACCAGCTTATTGTTACTGCTCAAAAAATCCCCCTTTGTCAACATCCATTTTGCCGAACAACTCTGAAAATTTTGAGTTCCTATGCACTAAACTTCAGGGCTAAAAAGACGCGAATCTGTGCTAATTATATCAAAAAAAGTTTGTTTTCTGAAATTTGTCTCTCGCAAAAACTCTGGATTCACCCCTGGGATAAGTAATGGCAGATGCATAATTATCGAAAAATTTGACCACTGAATTTTTTTTTGCAATATTTCGGATAGGGCTCTCAGCAGGAGGAACATTTTGTCTAGACATGAAAGCTGAGTGTGGTTTTCCGCTTATTCGTAGTTTTTTAATTATGAACAGTATGAAGAACCTTTTGAGCTAATCTCAATACAAACCTTTTTTAAAATCATATTTGAATTTTTTAAACAAACATCGTAGAGTTAGTGATTTTAATTAACACAATCAAAACAAACCCATTATCTGCTGAATCAACTGTACCGTGTTCGTATTGAGTTTTCATTACGAGGCAAAACTGTGCTCTGGATAAGCTGACAACTAAGTGTCTGAAGTTTAGTGGTTTCCAGAGACAAGTCTGTAAACATATTCCAGAATGTAAGTGGATTCCATTTAGAACGTTTCAGTGGAATCCGCGTACAAAATATGTAACGTAAATTTTGTCGGCGCATTTTCTCTGTCGAGGAATCCGGTACAAGCGAGCATGAGCAGCGCTTACTGGGGATCGGTCTGTAAATTGATGGTATACTTGTTCTGTTTAAATCCACGGCCGCAGACGAAAGCTTGTATAAAAGTATTTTGGCAATCTCAAAGTCTAAAAAAGTCAATTTTGAATTGACGGACCAAAGTGCTACTGTTGATACAGAGATAAAGAAAACGTGGAATTTGAAATTTGGATTTGAATTTGATTGAATTTGAACTAAGCTAACTGGATCCAAATGGTAAGGTCAGCCACAGGGACGCCTTTTTTAGACTTGCGGCAGACATGAATGATCCAGATAAAGAAAAACGAAGTTCTAAAATAATTTAAACATACTTGAGATTTTTTTATTGTCGAGCGCTTGCTTCCGAGAGTCTCTGTCGCAGTTCGTTGTTGTTTATTCAAAGCAATAAATGAATCTGACTGTCACTTAGGCTGCAAAGGTTGCCTAAAACCACGGCGAAACTGGAACGTTTTTCCGAGAGCTTTCGACTTCACTGTAACTTTGGACACCGATACCAGAGCAAATTGATCTGATTCGCTTCATTGGGTTCCAAAAGTAAGTAAATTATTTCTGGTACCACAGAAAGTGGATCTGGTTTTGGAACCGCTCCATGCTGTACCACGGAAAGTTGGATCACCCTAATAGGCACTGCTGGCTCACCGATCGACAACTGGGTTCTATCCTGCGATGATTTACCATCGTTGTCTAACATTCTTGCAATTCACCTGAATCATACCGTAACCTAAAGAATTTCATTTTTGGTTTTAAACGCAATTGAGCAGAACGTATTGACCTTATTTGAAACGCAACAAGTTTTGAGCTTTAAATGGGGCTTTAAGTTTTGAGCTTTATTTGACCTTATTTGAAACGCAACAAGTTTTGAGCTTTAAATGGGAGTGAACTCAAGGATATTTTGTCAGCATTTGAGAATTGAATTAAGCAAAATACTTACGGATTGTCTGCATTTGAGATTTAACTGCATGAAACGTACTATCAACGTTTGAGACTTCAATTGAACGATTTTTTTTGCAGAACAAAATTGAAGAACAAATTGTACTATCGGAGTTCGAGATTTGAACTGCACGAAACGCAATTTTAGCAAATGAGAAATTGTAGGCAGCTTTTGGGATTTGAACTGCTTGAAACGCTCTTTCGAGATTTGAGATGTGAACTGCACAATACGTATTTCCACATTTTGAGACTTCAATTGCACAAAAATGTTTTCAGCTTTTGAGATTTGACCAAATCGAAACGCACTATCAGGTTTTGAGATTTGAACTACACAAACCGTATTTTCCGCTACTGCGAATTGATAGTCAACTTTTGAGATTCGTACTGCTTGGAACGTATTTTCACCATTTGAAATTTGATTGTCCGAATTTCAGATTTGATCTGCCTGAAAAAAAATTTCAGCATTTTAGATTTTATGGTGCGCTAGATTTTATCCCATTAACAAGATAAACTAGCTATTTGCAATAAAAAAAAATTCTCCAGCAATAAATTCAGCGCGCTCGTTTAAAATGAAATTGGAATCAATTTGAGAAACTATTACTTGGTTGAAGAGTAGGTAGGTCACTAAGCGGGGAGACCGCGCGTTTGATCCACAAAATTTGAACAAATAAAATTTCTTTCAATTTTTATGGCTTTAGAAAATTTTTTACTAGCTCAAAATAGGAGTACTAAATATAGAAATCATTTAGACATGACTTCAGCGTCATTTTATATTTTCCGTTTCCACTCCCCTCTGATTATGGGATCTTTGTTACTATTCCCCATTTTTTAAACAAAATTGGTTACTAAATAGTTAAACTGGTTAGTTTAGGAAATTTTGATCTCGGAAATTATTATTTTTTAAAGTTTAAGGAGCTTGAAAGACACGTTTTATGAAATTTTTACAACTATTTTCAATCAATTATGCAATCAAAAAATCCCAAGAAAACAATTAGTGACTCTAGTTTGCTGAAAAAACCTTTCAAAACTATTAGTAATTTTGTATTTGGCTATGAGGTCTATCATTTGAACATAAAAGCAACTTCAACCAAATTATTTAGATTTTGAAAATACGCACTAGCTGGCCGGTTTGAGTTTTTGCTGTACATTTTGGGTGAAAAAACTTCATGATTTTTTGGATGCCATTAATATTGGGCTTTTTGTACTTAGGGAAAAATAGATTTGTTGGCAGCAGACAACGAAAGTGATTTGGACTCTCTGATCAAATGCACCAAACTCAACGAGACATTTTCTCATGAGCACATGCCAATTCCACAGAAAAGCCGCCGAGGATAATAACGGAGAAATTTTTCGACAAAAAACGGCCCAGTTTTCTCAGGAATTTTTTTGTAGATTTGAATAAAGCTGCTTAACTTTTAGAACTGTGTTTAAAACTTGTTTTTTTTTAAATGTAATTTGCTTCTAGTTTATCCGCTCTGGTTTCTATCATGTTTTTTAAACCGTTTTTTATTGATGCAGTAGTAGTCTTAAAACTAAACCGGTCCGTCATTTTGTTTTTCAAACAAACCATCCGAAATCAAAAAGGAATCATCGGCATTTTTGAAACTTATAACCTGTAAATTATTTTTGCATTAACCCCGCAAACGTTTCTAGAGTCAAATTGTAAGTTCAAAGCTCTAATTGCTGATCTAATTATGTTGAAGCACTCAATTGATTAAAACTGTTCTGGTTGTTTCTTATCTTCTTATCTCTTCTAACTTGAATTTATTGCAATGAAGGTTAAATTGAAACAATTTTATCAAAATTATTTTGAATAGTTTATTGTTCCGACTTTCGATACGAAAGTAACGGAATATTTGTGCTCGGGGTGGGTTTTTTTTATCTTCAGACAAATTTCGACTTTTTAACTAGCCATTTTTGACGGATTTTTTTTATATCAGTCAAAAGTTATCGTTGTCCTGAGCTTAAATTTAAAAAGATATTTCACCTGCGACCTTTTTTCGTGAAGTTACGAGGGTTTAAAGATTGCCATTTTGACCAATTTGGGACAATTAACGCGCGATAAAATTCGCGCTATTAACGCGTAAGCGGAGATTTAATCAGTCTTATAAATCGTTCCAAATTGGTTGAACGAAGCTTATTTGCCATAATTGATGTGTTACAAGGAACGAAAACTATCTTTTTGTACTTTAGATGGCGTGTGGGGGGATGATTTTCATAAAAAATTTCAAAATTTAGAAAAAATTTTTTTCATTTTATTTTATTTCATATAATGTTTTTATGTTATTACTGCTGCTCCATAAACCTTCAAAAGCAGTCGGAACATTCAGGGCTTTGCCCTGATACGAGCAGTCTTGTTTGAAATGATTTGATGTTGTGCATTAGTGTACTTCAGTTTGTTTAGTTGGCAGGAATTGAGATTGGGGTAAGTGGGCAAATCTGTTTGTGCGTAAGTTGGGAGGAATTGAGATAATTTGTTCTTCTTCAATTGTTTCACTTGGAAAGAATTGAGATCGGGGGTAATTTGGCGAACGTTTGGGTTTAATTTGGCAGGAATTTAGATTGATCCTTTGGGAATAAGACTCAGTTTATGCCAGCACCTGAGATTGAACTCGCTGGAAAAGCTCTGGTAAAAAAAATCTTGAATATAAAGACCCAACTTTATATGTTCTTGGAGTCCGCAAATAAAACGCGGATTCCGATTAAAATTTGCCGATTCCACTTACAAGTTGCGGAATCCGCTTCAAGATTTGCTGATGCACCTTACACTTATGAATTTCACAACGGCAAAGACATACTATAAACATACTTTACTATCAACAAATTTTAAAAACAAAGTTTTAATATTTGTTTTTGGGTTCCGCAAATACTGTTGAGGATTCCGCAATTTTGCCTGCTTTTGGAGCATTTTTGAGTGGTACAATGTTTTAGCTAATTTTTTGTGGAATCCAAAACAGTAAAGAGATCAAAGAAAAGCAACAATTTTGCGGGTTCAGCATCAAATCTGACTTTGACAGGTTGCGGAATTCGCCTACAATTCTTAAATAGCACAGTTTGGCCTCGTAATGATATATGCAAACAGCTTTGTGAAAACTTCAAATTTCTCTTCTAAAAAATCTAAATTAATTTTGCACGGGAACTGGAACTTTTTCTGAAACAGCTCTCTCGGCTGCTCAATTTCTGCAACAGATGACAATTATTTACTATTCAGTCTGCAGTGCAAATGGTTAGTATTTGTTTTTGTAAGTATTCGATACAAAACAAAATGTATTTTTATAGACAACACCAAACAGATAGCAAAACGGATTTTCTTTATAACTTATAATTTAAAATTGAAATTGTAAAATGATTTTTTTGTGCGAAAATATTTATTTTTGCAACAGCAAAATATGTACACATGACTTCATTTTTTTTCTGGACCTGAGCGCATATAATCGTGGTTTTACTTGGTTTCGTTCGGCGGAATAGTGGTCTGCAGTGCTAATACATGCACCTATGGCAGGTTTCCAAGAACTCAGGTCTCAAGGAACTCAAGTCCCTGATGCAAAATTTTAATTTCGGAGATTCGAAGCCCACCTTGATCTGTGTTGTGTAGACAGAGGGTAGGAAGCATTATCCAGCCTAGAATAACCAGAAATATGCATGTAATTTTAAATCGTTAGCACAGCAGCTGCTCTTCGAAAAGCGCCGAACAGCGTAATTTCTTGCGGAACTTGTTTAATTTCGATCGGCTACAATCTAAATTGGGCGCCAGTTGTAATGTTCCGGGAGCTCCGAAAAGCTGATATAAAATGATCGGAAAAAAAACCTTTTGTTGAGCTAAATGGGTCTCTGTCATTAAACTGAAGCATATTTGTATCTAAATGAGCTCTTTGGATGTATAATTTCAAAAGACTCACATTTTTTTAATAGTGTCTGTTTGGGCTAAAATATATTTTTTCCTGGTCGTTCCAAACTTTATTTAGAAGCGTCTCTTTATCGATTCATTACGATGTTGAAAACATTTTGTTATCCAGTGTTTTCAAATGAATTACGCAAGTTTGGATGGAAAAGTTGTTTAGTTTCTTGATTTTACGTGGTTTTTTGAATTTTCCAAACTTGCCTGTGCTGAAATTTAATTACGTTCTTAGATGTGTGTCTACTGTTTGAAAATGACTTGCAATGCAAGATCTTGAACCAGATCTCGATGTGGATCTGGCTCACTCCTGATTGGATAGCAGTTCCCCTGTCTCTGGACCGTCTCAACGCAATCATGTACCCAGCCTGGTAATTGCAACTAATTTAAATAAAGTGACAATTAGCAGTTCAATAACCAATGATTGACATAATTATAAGCCTCGAAAAAAGCTGAAAACTTCTCAGCTTTAGTCGAGGCTCAAAAGATTAGGGTTTAGGTTTGCTTTTTTGAAAAAAGTAAAACACCAATCAATCTTCAGAGTATTTTTATGAGCACTTTTATTCAAGTGAAATCCTCCATTTGATCTACCGTTAATGTGACTATTGATTTAACGAATTTACTGAGCAACGCCTTAAATTTCTGAAATAATTCTGACCTTGAGACAGTGAATTAGAGATTGCGCTTTTTCGGAGCTCATTGTTCCGACTTTCGATACGAAAGTAACGGAATATTTGTGCTCGGGGTGGGTTTTTTTTCTTCAGACAAATTTCGACTTTTTAACTAGCCATTTTTGACGGAATTTTTTTTATATCATTCAAAAGGTATTGTTGTCCTGAGCTTAAATTTGAAAAGATATTTCACCTGTGATCATTTTTCGTAAAGTTATGAGGGTTTAAAGGTTGCCGTTTTGGCCATTTTGACCAATTTGGGACAATTAACGCGCGATATAATTCGAGCTATTAACGCGTAAGCGGAGATTTAATCTGTCTTAGAAATCGTTCCAAATTGGTTGAACGAAGCTTGTTTGCCATAATTGATTTGTTACAAGAAACGAAATCTATCCTTTTGTACTTTAAATGGCGTGTGGGGGGATGATTTTTATTTAAAAACTTTCAAATTTTAGAAAAATTTTTTTTCATTTTATTTTATTTCATTTAATTTTTTTACGTTATTACTGCTCCATAAACCTTAAAAGGCAGTCGGAACATTCAGGGCTTCGCCCTGATACGAGCAGTCTTGTTTTAATATAATATCAAGCACCTAACTTCAAAACAATTTTCATTCAGCAGCGATCTGACAAGCGATTTTTTAATACAAAAGAACCCATAAAGCGCGGACAAAAAGACAAACGCGAAACTTCAACGAACTATTTCTAATAGGTTTGAGCTTGAAGGTCGGAACTATTTCAAAATTTAAGACGTTGTCCGATAAAATTTGCTGAAAGTTAAATAATCGTCGTCGTTAGTAGTTAATTTAGTTTTTTTTACATATAAATTTGTGGAATATAATCATCTCTTTCATTGACAGGAATTTAACTGAAAAATTACTCCATCAGCGATGGATCAAAAGTTAATCGACGGACGGCGGATTTTCCATAAATTATTCAAAATTTTGTCAATTTTTGTTAGTTCGACCGAATTAATTTTCCAAGTTCTCTCGAATTATTCTTACCAAGTTAACTATTTCGCCAAAAATTACTGAGCTGAAAGCAAAAATTTTAGATAACGTTTGTTCCAAAAAACATTTAATTGCTTGCCTCTGAATAAATTTTAAAGAATGGGAGGGATATTCCTAGCATTCCGCTTCCAACTTCGAGAAATGGAACGAAAATTATAAAACAACATTTTCTTGCATTTTCCCTAACTTTCGTTTCTTGTAGCGGTTTTATGACAAATTATCCTCTACCTTTTTATGTAAAAGTTGTCCAAAAATTTCTTAAAATTTGAGATTTAGGAAAATGAAAACCTGAATTTGCCTGTCTGAAGTAAATTTTACTATACTGGACAATGTTAAGAGCATATTCGGGTTTTTACTCTCTAAAAACATTGCCATAATTCTTTCAAAATTATATATTCTTGCAATATCCGGAATGTTCAAATCCGTAGCTTCTAGATGATTTTACTTACCGTCGTTTAGAAATTGAACTATGATTTGCAGGAGCTCCAAAAATAAGCATACGGCCCTGCCCACTCGAGCTGAGTTCCCATCAAAAATTAACGGTGAAAAAAAACGGTGATCACCATAAGGGTTTTAGCGCTAAGTTTTTACCCAAAAAGACCACAGAAAAGTGCAAAATTTCTAACTTTGAAATAATGATGAGCTAACATTTTTTTTTTCGTTTTGGCAATGTTCTGTAGTAAAAAAGCAAAATTTCAGACCAAAAATTTTTATTTGAGTTATAAATGTCCAGTGCATTCTAAATTTTTAGAGTTTTCAAAAAATGTTCTGAAAAAATCAAAGAAGTTTCGTGATTGCAACTAAGTCAACAATCAAAAACTAATTATGCGAATAACTTATAGTCATCAGACTGAAATTCAAGTTTTAAAAAATAACAAGACTGCTCGTATCATGGCGAAGCCCTGAATGTTCCGACTGCCTTTTTAAGGTTTATGGAGCAGCAGTAATAACATAAAAAAGTTAAATGAAATAAAATAAAATGAAAATCATGCCCCCATAAAATCATCCCCCCACACGCCATATAAAGTACAAGAAGATAGATTTCGTTCCTTGTAACAAATCAATTATGGCAAATAAGCTTCGTTCAACCAATTTGGAACGATTTATAAGACGGATTAAATCTCCGCTTAAGCGTTAATAGCGCGAGATATATCGCGCGTTAATTGTCCCAAATTGGTCAAAATGGCAATGTTTAAACCCTCATAACTTTACGAAAAATGACCACAGGTGAAATATTTTTTCAAATTTAAGCTCAGAACAACAATACCTTGCGAATGATATAAAAAAAATTCCGTCAAAAATTGCTAGTTAAAAAGTCGAAATTTGTCTGAAGAAAAAAACCCACCCCGAGCACAAATATTCCGTTACTTTCGTATCAAAAGTCGGAACAAAAATCAAGTTATTCATGGTCAACAGTTTGAAACCAACTTTAAGTAAACCATCAAAGCAATTTATCTCAACAATTAAAGCACATTTAAATGAAAGAAGTTAGATGCTATTAAATTGCGATGAAGAGTTTTATAATTATAAAAGAGTCCAAAAGCGACATTTTGTAAGCAAACAGTTTCAATTTTTTTCTTGGTTTTCAGTTTCCAAGCAGTTTTAGGCAATCAATTGTTACAGATTGAAATCCAGTTAGTAACGTTATCTACCAAATGCTTCATTCTATTAGCCATTATATTTGCTTGGTTGTCTTAATTGATTTTAAACTGATAGTCATTAAGAGTTTTCGAAGTTTGTTTTCGGCAATATCTTCCGACCTTGTTGTTCCGACTTTCGATAAGAAAGTAACAGAATAACTGTGCTCGGGGTGGGTTTTTTTTTCTTCAGACAAATTTCGACTTTTTAACTAGCCTTTTTTGACGGAATTTTTTTAATAATTTGAAAGCTGCTGTTGTCCTGAGCTCAAATTTGAAAAGATATTTCACCTTTGATCATTTTTTTTAAGTTATGGGGGTTTAAAGATTGCCGTTTTGGCCAATTTGGGACAATTAACGCGCGATATATTTCGCGCTATTAACGCGTAAGCGGAGATTTAATCCGTCTTAAAATCGTTCCAAATTGGTTGAAAGAAGCTTATTTGCCATAATTGATTTGTTAAAAGGAGCTAAATTTATCTTTTTGTACTTTATATGGCGCGTGGGGGGATGATTTTCATAAAAAATTTCAAATTTTAGAAAAAAAAATTTCATTTCATTTTACTACATTTAATTTTTTGACGTTATTACTGCTCCACAAAACCGTAAAAGGCAGTCGGAACATTCAGGGCTTCTTGTTCTTTCTGAATCCTTTTCTGTGATGTCAGCGTCTTGCAAATTCAATTTCCTCATTGTTAAAAACAAATCTTCATAGTAAAAACTCCAAAAAGTCATTCAATCACGAATCAAAGCAAAAAAAATAACTTGAACCTAATCAGTCTCTAATTTACTCGGCCCTTTGATACACAGTGGGACTTAAAGGTAACGTGGCCCATACTACACAAGTAAAAATATTAAAAAACACTTTTTTTCTTAATGTTACTGATAAATTGATCATCGCTAATTCGTAAACGTTTTTCGATAGATGATCAATAATTTATTTATCTATGAAACAGCAAACAATTATCCATAAAAATTGTTTAGCAATTACTCACGGTTAGCGGTTATCAAATTGGTTAGGTTAGCCTTTCAACTCGGACCCACCTTTCCTCCCTAAATCCAGATCGTTTTTCGTTAACTTTCTTCTAAATGTCAAACCATTCTGACGTTTTTAAAATACTGTTAATGCTGCTTTTGAAATCAAAAACATTTTCTTGATTTCATGAGGGTACAGAACGCAAGTGCAGAACTTGCAGTTTTAAAAACCATTGCAGCAGAAGTTGCTTCTTAGGGAGGCTACCTGCTTTGCAGTTAGCGCTTTTTTCCTATAAGCAGTTTTTTTTGGTTTTAATAATTGGTTTTAATTGGTTGAATTTAAATGGTTGGCAGTTGGCATGAAAACCAAATAGGTTTAGAATGCAGAGCTGATTTAAATTATCCAGCCGAAACTCATAAAATTTTGGACTTAACAGCGCGGTTTTTTATTGTGTTGATTTTAGGAGAAAAATTATGAAGACAAAGTTGCTTCGATTTGTTGCAAGATTAAAATAGTGTAATTGGATTTGCGAAATTCGAGCCCAAATTTCTACCTCAAAGTTGGATCATTTTAGGCTTTTTTAATCAATCAAAAATTACGCTAAGTTATGGATTTGATTTTCGAGTAACAAAACTAAATCGAAGTCAGCCTTTTGCGTAGCCCAACAATTTTTAAAAGTGTATTATCTTCAAAAAATGGTAAAAAATGTTTTCAAACAAAACATGGAAAAAAATCTTTTATAGGGTTTTATAAACTATCAATGATACTGTTTGGCTATGAAAGAAAAATGAATTATAGATTGCACAATTTTTGGAAATTGTATTCTTTTTAAATTTGTTTGGCTACGCAAGGTGCTAACTTTGGTTTAGTTTTGTCAGTAATTGACCCAGTAGTTTTAGCGTATTTGTAATTGCCTAAAAAGGCCTAAATTGATCCAATTTTGGGGCTTAAATTGTGGGCCCGAGTTGCAGAAAGTAAATTTTGCGTCACAGTAATATTGATGTATGGCACCAGATATTTTATTAATAGTTCGACTCTAAAAAGATTCGTCATCATCAGGCTTCCTATCTATTTTTAAAAAATTTTCTTCTCCGCACCCCACGTGGTAACAATTTACTTTAAAAACGTTTGTGCAGAATATCGGATTATGATTCGAAGGACGTGTTTTCGCAGGTACAAACAAAACTGCACCACCAAGACTGCGTGGATCGTGATTGCACCAGTGATTGGGCTGATTGGCGTCAGCCTAATTCCAATGTCGCTTTTAACGGTCAGAATCGACGATGGAACAACGCTCTACTGTGCGAGTGAAAATGGAGTTGTTGAACGCATCATGAGCCTGGTCGGGTTGCCAGCAATTTTGACAATCTCACTGGCAACATTGGTGCTCTTGTACCTCATTCACAATCGAAGCAAGAACTCAAACAATTCCGCTTCCGAAAAAGAGGTTAAAATTTGAATTAGTTTCACTAAAGCTCGAAAAAAAATTGGCTCATGATGAAAATATAGAAACAAACATAACTTTTTTGTCTATAATGGGAAGTTCTAATCCATTGTTATACCCAGAATCAGGGGCGGATCCAGGATTTTCTCGAGGGGGCGGATTTTTAAAAAATGTTGACCTTTTTTTTAGGTCAACCAAATTGATTTTGCGAGCTCTCCTAAAGCACTAAAAAGAAGCTTTTTTGGCCAAGTTTTCTGCGCCGGAGGCAAATTTTTGAAAAAACAGGTCAAAAAACCCGTTTTTGGGTAATTTTTGGAAAATTTTGCCAAAAAAATTGCGTTTTTTGGCGCGCGCTTCCCCTCAAAGTTAGTCTATATTGGCGCCCAAGGCGCCTTTAGAAAAATTTTAGGGTCCATCGGCCGAATTTGGGTTTCTTAAAAAGTACCAACAACAGTTTTCTGAACCAAAGTTTAAATAGTTTTGCCTACTACAGTTTTTGCCCTTTTTATAAGTTAAATAGTACTAATGTTATAGATTTTAGCAACCAGCAGTGAAAAAATTGTTTAAAAAGTGGTAATTATTAGGAAAAAGTAAGATTTTGGACAAACTTTGTCTAAATTTTTGATACATTAAAAGATCGATTACATGCTTTTGCTCATTGATTATGATTTTGCCGAAACAGTATACTGTGTGTCTTAATCAATAACCCTAATCAAAACAAACTAAAACTGGTTTAGCTGCTCAAATTTTCTACAGATTATATCAACAGCGGATTTGGGGGTAGGGGGCGGACGCTCCCTTCTCAGGGATTGGACCTCCTGCCGACCCAAAGGGATATCTTGAAATATTACAAAGGGGGACCCTTTGAAATTTTTTAAGATATCCATGGTCGGCTGGTGGAACCTGATTTATCTCTAAAGGCGGCAAGCACGCGACGAAAAAGCGCGATTTTTAGGCCAAAATTTTCCAAAAAATGTCTAAAAACGGCTTTTTATGGCCTGTTTTTTTTTTCAAAAATCTTGCCTGTGGCGCAGAAAATTTGGTCAAATTAGGGATTTTATAGTGATATGTGAAGCTCAGAAAATCAAATTAACCGATCTAAATAAAAGGTCGACAAAACGTCAAGAAAAATATTGTAAAACCGCCCCCTTGAGAAAATCCTAGAATTAGATACAGATTGTAAACAGATAACAGAGAAATTTTATGCAGGTTAAATGTAAATTAGCTCAAATCAAATACAAATTCCCTGCAAAATATAAAAAAAGAAAGCACCCAGTTGAACAGTTGAAAAAAAACGATTTATCTGTTTAGAATCAATTATTGATGGCAAAATAGTTGTAGTTAATTGGTTCAATACTCACGTTTGTACTTCTACAAACACTTTATAATCAATTTTCATCCATTTTGTCCTTGCAAAGTATGACTTTTTTAAAAACAAACCTTTATTAGAGAAAGCATAACATTTTATAAACGTTTTTTTTATCCGATTCATAAGATAATTTGATGCTTGTTCCGATCATTGATATTGCGGAGGAACTTTGTCTTCGGAATTATTTTAGTTCTTTCACTTTTCTGTTTTTTTTTGTTTTCCACGCAAAATTAGGTACCACAAACAATCATCTGAATGTGTCGAATGATATATCATATTTAGTGGCGTGCACAAAATTTTTTGTAGGGTCGGAAACTTTCGAAAAAAAGTTCAAATGTTTGCAGAACTTATTTCAGGTCGACGAATTTGATTTTCCGAGCTCTCCGAAAATACTATGAAGACCTTATTTGGTCAAAAACTTTCTGTACTACTGGTAAATTGTTGTAAAAAACAAGCTAAAACTGACAGTTTGAGCCTTCTTAAAATTATGTGACCTAAAATTGCTTTTGTCAGCACGCGTTCCTTCCTCAAACGTAGTTATATTGGCGCCTAAAGAGCTATAAGAAAAATTTTGATGTTGGTCAATGAAAAATGGATCTCGTAAAACAATGCAAAAGCTGGAAGGGGGACTCTTCAGAAAAATTTGGCAGCCAAAAATGACGGGGAAGTTCGCCCGACCTCTCTCCCTGAATTGAAAAATGCGAAGGATTTTTGTATTTTGTATTTTAGTTTTTTTTTCTTTTTTTTTCAACGCCAAATTAGGTACTCCAAAATCAACTGAAATGGTCAAATTATTTAACATAAAAAAAATCCATTCAGCCGTAATTCGAACGATGTTTAAAAAATTTTGAAAAATTCTTTCATTGTTGAGAAAGATCTGTCTGAAATTTTTGATTTTGGTCGTATTTTAAGCAGGCTTATTTATGCTTATTTATGCTTAATTTGAGCAATTAAAACTTTTTTTTAACTCGAGTTAAGTTATTTTTTGGAGTTTATTTACGCCCATCTGGAACCTTCAATCCTTCAAAAAATTTCTTTCAAAAGTCAAAACATTTCTAAGAAAAAGTTTGAAAATTTTTTTGAATTTGTTTTTGATTTTTCAAAAAATTTTGTGAATTTTCAAGAATTTTCTAGTTCCTTTCTAGAAATATAAATTATACATACATATATATATATATATATATATATATATATATATATATATAATGTCGGAAAATAATTTTTTGCAAAAAAAAATGTTCAGAAAGGGGGTCAGTCTTCTAATAGGTTTCAGCCGATTTCTTTTTGTAAGAATCTTTATAGATCAGATTGATTCCTTTTTTTCACATTTGCATTTCCCAGCTCATCCCCTTTGATTTTTTCTTAAAATTCAAAATATGATTGTATATTTGAAATGACTTTTCGTGTTATAAAGTGGGTTAAAACGTGTCAGCGTGAACAGGTGAACAGTTTCATACAACATTTCTTGCATGCAAAATGCTGAGTTAACAATTTTCCTTTAACTGGATTAACCTAAATTATATAGAGTATTAGCTCTTTTCCACTCGCCCAGCTTTCAAAAAAATTCGATTTTTAGAAAATTTTTACGTGCAGTCATGGCTAAATGTATGGTATGAGCAACTAATCTGTTCACAGTTGTTAGGTTGTTCACCATGTCAAATTTTTATCGGAATGGAATGAATTATATATCATATTAAAGCCCTTTCAGTCGTAATTTGAACGATGTTAAAAAAAATGAAAAATTTCTTTCAATGTAGAGAAATATCTGACTGAAATTTTTGGTTTTTGGTCAAACTTCGAGAAAGTCTGATGAGCCAGCAGGCTTAGAATCGCTTATTTATGCTAAATTCAATCAACTAAAACCAAATTCTACTCAAGTAAAGTTAATTTTGGAGATTTTTTGCGCCAATTTGTTAATCAAAAACCTTCAAAAAATTTCTTTCAATGACGGGGAAGTTCGCCCCGACCTCTCTCCCTGAATTGAAAAATGCGAAGGATTTTTGTATTTTGTATTTTAGTTTTTTTTTCTTTTTTTTTCAACGCCAAATTAGGTACTCCAAAATCAACTGAAATGGTCAAATTATTTAACATAAAAAAAATCCATTCAGCCGTAATTCGAACGATGTTTAAAAAATTTTGAAAAATTCTTTCATTGTTGAGAAAGATCTGTCTGAAATTTTTGATTTTGGTCGTATTTTAAGCAGGCTTATTTATGCTTATTTATGCTTAATTTGAGCAATTAAAACTTTTTTTTAACTCGAGTTAAGTTATTTTTTGGAGTTTATTTACGCCCATCTGGAACCTTCAATCCTTCAAAAAATTTCTTTCAAAAGTCAAAACATTTCTAAGAAAAAGTTTGAAAATTTTTTTGAATTTGTTTTTGATTTTTCAAAAAATTTTGTGAATTTTCAAGAATTTTCTAGTTCCTTTCTAGAAATATAAATTATACATACATATATATATATATATATATATATATATATATATATATATAATGTCGGAAAATAATTTTTTGCAAAAAAAATGTTCAGAAAGGGGGTCAGTCTTCTAATAGGTTTCAGCCGATTTCTTTTTGTAAGAATCTTTATAGATCAGATTGATTCCTTTTTTTCACATTTGCATTTCCCAGCTCATCCCCTTTGATTTTTTCTTAAAATTCAAAATATGATTGTATATTTGAAATGACTTTTCGTGTTATAAAGTGGGTTAAAACGTGTCAGCGTGAACAGGTGAACAGTTTCATACAACATTTCTTGCATGCAAAATGCTGAGTTAACAATTTTCCTTTAACTGGATTAACCTAAATTATATAGAGTATTAGCTCTTTTCCACTCGCCCAGCTTTCAAAAAAATTCGATTTTTAGAAAATTTTTACGTGCAGTCATGGCTAAATGTATGGTATGAGCAACTAATCTGTTCACAGTTGTTAGGTTGTTCACCATGTCAAATTTTTATCGGAATGGAATGAATTATATATCATATTAAAGCCCTTTCAGTCGTAATTTGAACGATGTTAAAAAAATGAAAAATTTCTTTCAATGTAGAGAAATATCTGACTGAAATTTTTGGTTTTTGGTCAAACTTCGAGAAAGTCTGATGAGCCAGCAGGCTTAGAATCGCTTATTTATGCTAAATTCAATCAACTAAAACCAAATTCTACTCAAGTAAAGTTAATTTTGGAGATTTTTTGCGCCAATTTGTTAATCAAAAACCTTCAAAAAATTTCTTTCAAAATTTAAAAAATTTGTTTCAAGAACTTTTATCGGCTTACTAGTCATTTTTTTTTCTGTTTTTTGATTTATTTATTTAATTTTGAGTGTCGATTATGCTTTAATTTCAGTTTTTAATTCTAGAAAGAACTTTTTTTTTTTTATAAACCTTTTGCACAGTAACCGGCAATCCTTGTTATTTTAGCAAAATGCTGGGAAAAAGAAATAATTTTCACATTTGAATTCGGCACGCAAATTGGAAATCTCAAGCAGTTTAAGGTATAATCGTGTCGGAAATCAATCTTTTGAAAGCAAAGGTGTTCTGAAATAGGTCAATCTTCTAATACGTTTTAGCAGGTTTCTTTTTTTGTGAGTCTACATAGATGAGATTTTCCAGCTCAACCCCTTCGATTTTTTCCCCGAAATTCAATCTGTGAATGTCTTTTCAAAATGGTTTTTGATGTTATATACTGGGTTAAAATGTGTCAGCGTGAACAGGTGAACAATTTTTTACAACATTTCTTACATCCAAAATGATGTCGCAGCAATTGTCCAATAACGGAATCAAACTAAATTGAATAAATTATTGGCTCTTTTTCACTCCCCCATATTTTGAAATTTTGATTTTTAAAGTTGTTTTCCGTGCAATTATGGCTAAATGTATGGTATAAAGTATGATATTTATTTTGACAAATTTTACTTCGATTTTAGATATAATGACCACTTCGAAATAGTTGACAGGAACTTTGCCTCGGATACGGGAAAAGAAGATGCTAAATGATGAAGTGTAATATCTTTTATAGCCTTTCGACAAACTATAAAGATATTTTAAGAAATGTTTATCTCAATTGTTATTTTTCAGAAAACGCGAGAAATAAATTGACATAAACAGACATGTTGTTTGAAGTTTTGTCTTCGAATCCTATCTAATCATGTTCCAGCTAGTCATGACATAAATTTTTGGGTAAGGATTAATGACTAGTCAATGTTTTAGCTAATCATGGCTCTTACTGGCACTTCGGCCATGTACGCAGTTTTCGGATCCGTTTCATACTGCATCGTGTTCTACGCTTTCTGGCTACTGGAAGAGAACACTGTGAACGATCTCCTTATCTACCAGGCAATCGGGCAGCTGGTCAACACTCTGGGCATCATTTTAAGAAGTCCCATCCTTCTCCTCATGCAGCCAATGCGAAACGCTTTCAAACGCGGATGGAAAAACGTCACTTTCCAAAAATGAACAGCTGCTATCAACTCAAACATTAGCCAACGGAATTCGAAAAGGAATAACCGATCAATTTGAAATAAGATCGAATGAGGCTCCAAAAAGTTTCCTCAGTGCAGAGAAAAAAGTTAAATCTCGCCTTGATTTTTTGAAGAAAAAAAGAAGAAAAAATGAATCCTCTTGTAAGCGTCATATCAATCCTTTGCAATTTAAAAAAGTTTCCCCGACGTCTTTGTCTTTATCTGCCGCTTAGTGAGATTGAGAAAGCATGTGTTTTCCTCTGCATCCACTGTTCGTTGCATAACCTGTTTTACGCTGTAGTCAGTGACCATGCACGGTTGCTAAGAAGAGCAAAACAGGTTTTGTTAATCAGTTTCCATCCATACCAAAAAATGGTAGGTGACCTCTCCAATATTAAAGCCAGTTATCTGAGTGTTAAGACTTCAGCTATCATTTCTGTCATGCAAAACTTTCGAAACTAGTCGGAGGTGTTGAGTTATATCCTTTTGGGTATACTCATAGAGTAATTTCAGATAAGGTACACCGTCTGCTCGTCACGCTATCTTATTTTCGGCCGGATAGATTCGTGCAAGTTCTTAGTCTAATACCAATCTTAATCTTCCTGTAAAATCTCCTAATCTCAATAGATCTAGTGTACACCAGTTCATGCGAGTTAGTTCCAGAATGAGAACAACTGTATTCTAAGTTTAATTCAAATTATTCTGGTGTTGAAACTACAAGTAGTTTCAACACTTACAAATAAGTGGGTTCTTAGTTTGATGGAGTAAGATTGTTCAGTATTCAATATTTTATAGAGATAAAATATCAGAATAATATCCAATAAAAAATTCTAGTTTAGATCTGGTTCCACCTATCCGGGGTTTAGAGAGTTTTAGTTTTTTCAGTGTTCTATTGAAGTGGAGGATGGATGTTGGAGGTGTTTTTCTTTTAAAAATTTCGAGCATATTCTTTTTTCTGGTTTGGAAGAAAAGTTGTTATCACAATCGTTTCGGAAGATTGTATTATGGTTTCTGATCGGTCGTGATGAGTGTTGATTTGGTTGATTTTAGAGAATAGCAATGATCCAATCACGTTCGGGAGTGGCATGTAGTTTGACTTTAAATGCAGTGCCTAGTGACTTGGATTTGTACGTATACTTGAACATCGACATGGCCATTTTTCGGTTGCAATGGGTTTCCTTTGCTGCGATGCCAAATCGTACTTTAAATCCGTTGAGTGTAGTGACTGTAGGCAGCATGTCGGGTGTGTTTTGGCATTGGGTTGTCAAGTGTGATTGGGTTGTCAAGTTCCTTGCTGCTCGTCTTTGGGCTGTATGTTATCTATATACTGCATTGTATTATTTACATGAATAAATCTTTGTTAATTTTGTTTTTAGTCATGACGTTGTAACTGTTTTTATCGCAAAAGCGTTATTGTTTAGTTCGGTTTTTTAAGAGCTACTCACACCTGAGTAACTCTCGTCAAAAATAGAGTTGTGGGTCACAAAGCGTGGATGAAGCACGGTGGGTGAGGCCGGCTATAGAGCATGCTCAGTGCGTCCTCTCTGGTGGGTTAGGCCAGTAGTGAGGGTATAAATTCATGCTCTCTTTTTTGGAGGGTCCTGTTTAAGTTGAACCTTTCGTGCTTTTTATTACTGTTTTTTTCTTTTTTGTCTTGGATGTATAATTTGTCTGTTTACTTGGTGCGTTTTTCGGTTTTGACTTCGGTGTCTTGCTCTATTAAGATCTTGTTGAAGAGGGGCGTATATAATATATAATGGTTCGTATTGTGGTTCGCTCAGAGATGCTTGGCAAATTACTAGTTCTTATTTTTTACGAAGAAATTTTGTGTGTTTTGAAATATTCCTGATTGAAAAGGATTAAAAGTGTTGTTGCTAATGCGAAGGTTATAATAGTCTTTTTTTAATTGTCATTATGATGGATGTCAAAATTGTGAGAAGTATCATAAAAAGAAGAAAAACATCTGTTCTACCGAATAGATGTTGCAAAATTTAGATAGTTATTTGAAATATCGTACCTGAGGAGGTGGTAAGAATTTTGAAAAATTAGCGTAGGTTCGGGCTAGGGAATAGAAAATGATGAAAAAGTTGCAAAAAATTATCAGAAGGACGACGATTATTTCTAGGATATCGGATATTAAGATTATACAAACTTTGAAAAAATTTGAAAAGATTGAAAAACAGTTTGAAAGAAAATTTTGTAATTTGTTGACTGTTCGAGAAAGAAGCATTTAAACAAATGGATCGTTTTTGTCGATTTTTTTTGAGGCAAAATTCGAGTGCGGTTGGATTTTTTTTTGGTTTTTTGACAAGTGGGTTGGGTTTCGGCAATTTTTGATGATGAGAAGTTTTGTGGAATCGTAAGGCTCTTCCTGGTTTTGTTGTTATTTATTGGTTGGAGTATTGGGGGTATCTAAGAGAAATTAGTCCTTTAGGCTAAATGATCATTCCCTTTTTGTTCTTTAGGCTAATTTAATGTTTTTGCTTGAGGGGGTTTTGAGGTCTATGTTGGGACAATTTTGTTGATCTTTGTTCTACTTGATAGAGGAGGGTTGTATTATGAGACTTTTTTTATTTCAGGTGTCAATGTTTTGCGGTTTGCTTATTTTTGACCTGGAGGTCCTTTAGTTATACTTAGAGATTAGCTTGAAGGTGACTAATTGTCGGCTAAAGAAGTCGCATCAAAAATGAGGTGATGATTGGGAAAAGGTTTTTTTTTGGTTGAATTTGAACTAGTTTGTTCAAGTGCTTTTCAGCATGAATTTTGAAAAAATGTTCGGGTTATGAAAAAATCTTCAAGAGGAGAAAATGTTAATTATTTGAAAGTGTTTTCTGAAATTCAATTTTCTTTAATATTTTAGATTGTGGAATGAATGCTTTATAGTCTTTGCGAGGCTGATTTCGAAGTCGCGATGATTGTCAATGTGGAGATTTTTCTTTTTAATTTTGTGGTAGGATTTTTTCTTCTAGTTTTCGATTTTTCTTCCTGTTTGAGTTATCTTTTTGTTTTCTAAATTTTTTGATAATTGTTTGTTAAGTTCTTTATTATTTTTTTCGAATAATTTTTGAATAGAATTCATATCAGTGCTTTGATTTTGTTCGTGATTGGAGTTATTTTGATTAATAATTTTAAGTCCTGTAAGGGAGTATAATTGAGTCAATTCGCGAAGAGCGTACTCTTTCGGATAATAAGGTAAAAGATTGTTACGGTGTTGAACAATTTCTTTTTTGTTTAGGTGTTGCAAAATTTGGAATTAAAACGTATGTTTCAATTTTTAAGTTTGTAGCTGGTGTTAATTGGGAATTTATTTGAGAATTAAAATTTTGTCTTTGTAAAAGTTTTTTTGTTACTTTTTGATAATTTTCATTGTGTTTTTCATCTCTGAATAAAATCCATTCGGTGGGTGTACCCGAAGCTAATTTTAATGTTTATGGATGATGAAAGTGATCTTCATCGTGGGTATGTAGTGGTAGATTATAACATATTGATTCTTTAGTGGATTGACAAAATCCTTGTGTGTTTTTTGAAGAATTTGCTGTGAAAAAAATGGTTTTCGTGGTTTTTGATTGAGTCCAACGACAAGTTTTTGGATGACCTCGAGTTGCTAAGAAGGAGATTTAATTCCGACTAGAAGATCTCGGAACGGAATTTGTCCATAGCTTCGAAGTTCATGGATGGAGTAAAAAGTGATGAACTGAAAACCATGCTGGCCACTCACTACACATTGTCAGCGGACTCCGTGCCGACACCCGATGATCTGCGCATGAAGTTACGCAAAAATTTGCTCATAAAACCAAGGTCTCAAAATCGCTACACTAACTACAGCAACTACAGTGGAATGAACATCGGCACAAGCTCTGGTTGGTATAAACATCGTGACGACATGGACAAAAGGAGGTCATGCGCTAATTGTGGTTTGCTGGACCATCACGTATCAGCCTGTTCCACTTAAAAACAAAAGGTGAAAGTAATTGATGTCTTTCTTGAGGATGTTGAAGCAACCGACGAGGACCACCAAAAATATGTGAGAGGGCTTATAATGAAGTATGGACCGAGATGCTTCTTTTGCAATCTGGAAGGACATTTCAAATCAGACGGCTTTCATTTCTGGGATGCAGTGGCAGACGCGAAGCATCTCCGCCATAAAGAGGCGCTATCAGAGGTCAAGGCTAGTCGAGCACGCTAATGAACGAAGCTGAGTCGCGGAAGAAAGAAGTGACACAAGGCAAATTCACGACTAAAAAAGTCAAGACCTTGCCTGATGACGCAATTAACTCGAGCCTGGAGCCTGAGTCGGCTAAAGCGCTTAAAATAGATTATGGCTTGGTGGCTCGGACCGCACTACAGAATATTCAGCAAGAGTTGGCCACGACAGAAATTGAGCAGTGGGTAAGGTCTGAACTTGAAAACACAGAGCTGCGCGAGAAACTTGACATCTAAAGAAGGCAGCGAAAGAAGAGGAGAACCAGGAACCAAAGAAACCGGGTCTGAAGTTGAATGTCATCTCAGGTTAGAGCTTTGGCATGACAAAAGAAGGGACAAAAGTAATGTCAGTAAGATCGGTCGCAGGGCATCAGGTAGTAAAGAACCTCAGTGAACAATCTGAGACCACGCTGGTACACCTGGACATCTATTCTGACTACTTGAGAGAAAAAGAACCCAATTTGTATTCCAGGGCCGTGAGAGCGTTACTCGCGACAGGTGGGCCAACACTAATGAGAGTGGATGGACAATATATAAAAATCTATGGCCCATACCCGATCCTGATGAACGTGGACAGCATAAATATTTACACGAAAGCTCACGTGACCAAGGTCAGTGACCAATTAGGCCGGTTCTACATCGGTCGAGAAGAGCTCAAGGTGCGACGAATTGGCCACAAAACCAAGCTCGAGCAGAACTCGGTCCACATAGGCTTTGAAGCCCTTCTGGCAGCACACGTATTGGACGTACAGGGCAGACAACTCTCCGTGAAGGGACTGTTCGACACCGGAGCCGTGGTCAGTGTCATGCCCATAAGCACCTGGACTGACATGGGCTTCGATAGGTCGGATCTGATACCAACCAATATCAGACTGGCACCGGCCAAT